GGGGAGGGGAAGGGGGAGGGGATGAGGCACAGCTGGGCTGGGGGAGGGGAAGGGGGAGGGGATGCGGCACAGCTGGGCTGGGGGAGGGGAAGAGGGAGGGGATGCTGTGACGAAGTGGGACTGTTCTTAATGTTTCCTCTGAATAGTGTGGGGGTGCCTCAGTTTCCCCTAGGCAGTTCTGAAGTATCTAGGGGGTGGGGTAAGGGTGTATGATCATTGCAGAGCCCTAGAGGGCAGGGGTGTGCAGGAGTCTGGACACAGAGAATGGCCGACACCCTGTTTCCTGGCAACTGATGGCCTGGGCCCTTCCCCCCCTGCAAGGTGAGAGCTGAAGGGTTGGAGAACAAAGGAATCAGATGACCACCTGGCCCGGGAAAGGAACAAAGCCCAGAGGAGGAGGGGCTGGAGGGGGTTTTCAGTTTGGGGCTAGCTGGCTGGGACATGGAGTGAAGTGCAGACGGGGTTGTCTGGCTCACTGCCCCCCAAAATGGACCCAGCTGAGGGGTCCCGTTCTCTGCACCTGCAAGCTCTGTTTTAGACCATGTTCCTGTCGTCTAATAAACCTTCTGTTTTACTGGCTGGCTGAGAGTCACGTCTGACTGCAAAGTTGGGGTGCAGGACCCTCTGGCTTCCCTAGGAGCCCCGCCTGAGCGGACTCGCTGGGGGGAAGCGCACGGAGGGGCAGAGGATGCTGAATGCTCCGAGGTCAGACCCAGGAAGGTGGAAGCTGTGTGAGCTGTGTGTCCTGAAGACAGGCTGCTCACAGAAAGGCGACTACCCCAGAGTCCTGACTGACTTCATGGGGAGCAGTTCCAGAGCATCGCCCAGGGACTCCGTGACAACTGGTGGCAGCGGTGGGATGTACTGCACCCCGTGGATGGCGCTTCCTGCAGTAAGTGACTGGGGAGCAGTAACACGAAGGGGGATTGCCGAGGACCAGGCCTGCTGAAGGCTCAGAAAGGAGCGGTTTCGGGGGGGCGGTTAACCCCTGGGAGTGTGTGACCAGCGAGAAGGACTGTGCAGTAATGGGGTCCCCCTGGGGACTGCAGTGAGCAGTCTCGGGGCGGAGGAGTCTGCAACTCGACCCTGGCAAAGAGGTGGTGACCTCAAGAAGGGCTGGCACACTAGGGGTTCTCCCTGGAAACCGTGGGGAGCTGAGAACACACGGGCCTGTGAGTCCACAACAACTTGGGAGGAGCGGAGTGATGGCCTGTCACCGTCTCCTTAAGAAGGACATTGTAACCCTGTGCAAAAAAAGAGAGGGTTGAGCATTGGAAAGCTCACCAAAGCAGAGTTAATCGTGCAGCTGGAGGAGGATGACCGCTCTAAGGAACAGACTCCTGACCCCAACTGGGGCTATAGCAGGATCTGGGAGCAGCTGGAGCGGGAGCCAGGCATCGCCAAGACTCCTGTCCCCGACCAGACGAGGGTCTTCACGATCGAGTTCCCCATCTAGGGATCGGAGATGGACGGGATTGGAGCTGAGTCTGAGAGAGCAAGAGGACCGTGGGAGACAGCGAAAGCCCGAGAAAGAGCTGCAGAAGCAGCAGCAGCATGAACTGGCGGTGGTGGGGCGGAGAGGCCTAGGGGACCTCCCCGGGGTGAGTGGGGATAGATCCCGGGGGGCCAGTTCCACAGGGAACCTCGAGACTAAATTGCTGCCCCTGGTTAAGGAGGGGGGTGTGTGGATGCCACCTCACTGCCTTTGAGCAGGCTGATGATTTGAACCAGGGGGACCCTGCGGAAAAGCCCCGGTGTCTAGCTCCCTTGCTGGGTCCCAAGGCCATAGACTCCGTCAGCCAGATGGTTGGGGATGTGGACAGGCTCCCATTCCTGACCCCAACCTATATGTCTGTGTGGAGTTTCCTGGGGCCAGGCCCCCCCGGACCTCCAGTGGGAGCAGAAGGTGATGGTCAATGGGGAGACATTCTTGGGGTGGCCAAAGGGCATGGGCTGCATAAACCTTCCCACATGCCGCCTGCGAGTGCTATCGACCACCCCTGACCTAAGGGAGGGTGTGAAACTGGAAGGGCCTGGTGTAACTCCTACCAAGGAATGGGAGAGATGCTGGGGCATCCATGGGAACGTTGGTGGCTTCGAACTTCCCCAGGTCACCGGCTAAAGTGACCCCGCTCAGTTCGATCTCGAAGGGGGGAGAGATGTGACGAAGTGGGACTGTTCTTAATGTTTCCTCTGAATAGTGTGGGGGTGCCTCAGTTTCCCCTAGGCAGTTCTGAAGTATCTAGGGGGGTGGGGTAAGGGTGTATGATCATTGCAGAGCCCTAGAGGGCAGGGGTGTGCAGGAGTCTGGACACAGAGAATGGCCGACACCCTGTTTCCTGGCAACTGATGGCCTGGGCCCTTCCCCCCCTGCAAGGTGAGAGCTGAAGGGTTGGAGAACAAAGGAATCAGATGACCACCTGGCCCGGGAAAGGAACAAAGCCCAGAGGAGGAGGGGCTGGAGGGGGTTTTCAGTTTGGGGCTAGCTGGCTGGGACATGGAGTGAAGTGCAGACGGGGTTGTCTGGCTCACTGCCCCCAAAATGGACCCAGCTGAGTGGGGCCTCCCGTTCTCTGCACCTGCAATGCTCTGTTTTAGAACATGTTCCTGTCCTCTTATAAAACCTTTTTTTTACTGGCGTGGCTGAGAGTCACGTCTGACTGCAAAGTTGGGGTGCAGGACCCTCTGGCTTCCCTAGATGAGCCCCCGACTCGCTGGGGGATCAGCGCACGGAGGGGCAGAGGATGCTGAATGCTCCGAGGTCAGACCCAGGAAGGTGGAAGCTGTGTGAGCTGTGTGTCCTGAAGACAGGCTGCTCACAGAAAGGCGACTACCCCAGAGTCCTGACTGACTTCATGGGGAGCAGTTCCAGAGCATCGCCCAGGGACTCCGTGACAGATGCGGCACAGCTGGGCTGGGGGAGGGGAAGGGGGAGGGATGCGGCACAGCTGGGCTGGGGGAGGGGAAGGGGGAGGGGATGCGGCACAGCTGGGCTGGGGGAGGGGAAGGGGAGGGGATGCGGCACAGCTGGGCTGGGGGAGGGGAAGGGGGAGGGGATGCGGCACAGCTGGGCTGGGGGAGGGGAAGGGGGAGGGGATGCGGCACAGCTGGGCTGGGGGAGGGGAAGGGGGAGGGGATGCGGCACAGCTGGGCTGGGGGAGGGGATGCGGCACAGCTGGGCTGGGGGAGGGGAAGGGGGAGGGGATGCGGTGCAGGGGACTGAAGCTGATCCGTGGGGACCATCTCCTGGTGCCGAGGCCGGTGTGTGGGGGAGTCCCAAGGGAAGACTGGTGCTCGGCAGCCCCAACGGGTACAGGTGGTGCCCTGGCACACAGTCTTAAGGGCTGGGGCTGGGGAGCTCCGGGGGCTCGCTGCTCGCGCCCACGCTCGGGCCAGACGGAGCCTTACGCCAACAAAGACTGCGTTGATGTACCCGGGCGAGCCGTCCGCTTTCAGGGAGGACATCAGGATGGGGCGGCTGCAATCCGCTGGAGGGGATGGAAGGAGAGAGGGCGTGTCTGAGCCAGGCGGTCTGCACACAGGCACCTCACCCAGGCGGGAGCCCCCGGCGTGGGCCGAGAAGCACCGTGTGCAGCTGCGCCCAGCCCCCCAAAGCTCACAGGGCCTGTGCCTGGGGCCTGGCCCAGCGGCGCTGCGGAGGAGCAGACCCCTTCCGTTTCCAGTGTCACGGCCTCAGCGCTCGGCGCACACCGTGCAGGGGCAGGATGCTGGTGGCACGGGGCGAGGGTCCCAGCTGGTGGATGCTGGGCGGGGCTGGGCCATGAACGCAGAGATCTGGCCGGCGCCCTTGGCAGAGGACTGCCTGGGAGCTCTCCCAGCCGGGGACAGGGGCTGGGAGGGCTGAGAGGCACAGCACTCCCTGGGCTGCGAGTCTCCACAGACACCTGCCAGGGCCTCGGGAAAGCCAGGTCCCTGCGGGCTCCCGGGCCATGGTGCCCACACAGTGCCCCAGGCTAGGCCCGGCCCCACCGTGTTACCTGGCAGGATCGCCGGCTTGCGGTTCTTGGGCTGGTTTCTGGGCTGCTGGGCCTCCTTGCATGGGGAGAGCTGGAACAGTTCGGAAAACTTCTGCAAGGCCTGCAGGGCAGGAGGGTGCAGCGGCGTCAGCTCCCAGCCGTGGCTCCCTGCTCCCACCCGAGACCCGACAGCACCATGCCCACGGCCTGCCTCCACGCTGCAACTCAGCTGCCCCGGGCCTGACAGGGCGGGCTGAGGGGTCATGCCACGGAGTGGATCCCACCCAACTCTCTAGGGGCCGAGCCCTGTGGGCCAACGTGGGGCAGCAAGCATGAGGGGGACTCTGCTGTTCAACACGTCAGGAGAGGGGCTGGCAGAGTGGTCCCTCCTCACTGCACACAGCTGCCTCCCAGGCAGCCCAGAGAAGTGCAAGGCAAGTCCATCTCAGGCAGAGCTGGGTTCCGGTGCTTGGCCTGCACCAGGATCGTCAGCACCAATCCCATTGCAGGATGCTTGTAATAAGCAACAGCCTGGGATGCTGAGCCCCCGACACGTCCCACGGCCTGGGAAACGCTGCTCCCAAACGACACGGAGCTAACGACACGTCCCACAGCCCGAGAAACGCTGCTCCCAAACGACATGGAGCAACCGACACGTCCCACGGCCCGAGAAACGCTGCTCCCGGACGACACGGAGCAACCGACATGTCCCACGGCCCGGGAAACGCTGCTCCCGGACGACACGGAGCTACCGACACGTCCCACAGCCCGGGAAACGCTGCTCCCGGACGACACGGAGCAACCGACACGTCCCACGGCCCGGGAAACGCTGCTCCCGGACGACACGGAGCAACCGACACGTCCCACGGCCCGGGAAACGCTGCTCCCGGACGACATGGAGCAACCGACACGTCCCACGGCCGGGAAACGCTGCTCCCGGACGACACGGAGCAACCGACACGTCCCACGGCCCGGGAAACGCTGCTCCCGGACGACACGGAGCAACCGACACGTCCCACGGCCCGGGAAACGCTGCTCCCAAACGACACGGAGAAACCGACACGTCCCACAGCCCGGGAAACGCTGCTCCCGGATGACATGGAGCAACCGACACGTCCCACGGCCTGGGAAACGCTGCTCCCAAAGGACACGGAGAAACCGACACGTCCCACGGCCTGGGAAACGCTGCTCCCGGACGACACGGAGCAACCGACACGTCCCACGGCCAGGGAAACGCTGCTCCCGGACGACACGGAGCAACCGACATGTCCACGGCCCGGGACGGCCTTCGGATGACACGGAACACATCCCACAGCTGCTCCCAAAGGACATGGAGAAACCGACACATCCCATGGCCTGGGAAACGCTGCTCCCGGACGCGCAACGACACGTCCCACGGCCAGGGAAACGCTGCTCCCGGAGACGTCCCACGGCCCGGGAAACGCTGCTCCCAAACGACACGGAGCAACCGACATGTCCCACGGCCCGGGAAACGCTGCTCCCGGACAACACAGAGCAACCGACACGTCCCACGGCCAGAGAAACGCTGCTCCCGGACGACACGGAGCAACCGACACGTCCCATGGCCCGGGAAACGCTGCTTCCGGACGACACAGAGCAACCGACACGTCCCACGGCCCGGGAAACGCTGCTTCCGGATGACACGGAGCTACCGACACGTCCCACGGCCAGGGAAACGCTGCTCCCGGACGACACGGAGCAACCGACACGTCCCACGGCCTGGGAAACGCTGCTCCCGGATGACACGGAGCAACTGACACATCCCACGGCCCGGGAAACTCTGCTTCCGGATGACACGGAGCAACTGACACGTCCCACGGCCCGGGAAACGCTGCTCCCGGACGACACGGAGCAACCGACACGTCCCACGGCCCGGGAAACGCTGCTTCCGGACGACACAGAGCAACCGACACGTCCCACGGCCTGGGAAACACTGCTTCCGGATGACACGGAGCTACCGACACGTCCCACGGCCAGGGAAACGCTGCTCCCGGACGACACGGAGCAACCGACACGTCCCACGGCCCGGGAAACTCTGCTCCCGGACGACACGGAGCAACTGACACATCCCACGGCCCGGGAAACTCTGCTTCCGGACGACACGGAGCAACTGACACGTCCCACGGCCCGGGAAACGCTGCTCCCGGACGACACGGAGCAACCGACACGTCCCACGGCCCGGGAAACGCTGCTCCCAAACGACACGGAGAAACCGACACGTCCCACAGCCCAGGAAATGCTGCTTCCGGACGACACGGAGCACTAAGGCACAAATGGGGGGTGACTTGTCCAATATCACAAAGCAAGTTCAGGGCGGCGCAGGACCGAGGAGCCCTGGCTCCCAGCCCCCTGCTTTCCTGGACCAGGGGAGAAGGCAGAGTCCCAGACCCTGGGCCAGCCCCGTGGTTCCTCCCACAGGTACCTTGAACTCCCGCGAGAACCCGTTGCTCTGCGTCTGGGCGTCGGGCTGGCGCAGGAGGCTGACGTGGCTAGGGACGCTCTCCACCAGGACCCCGGTGTTCCCGCACAGCAGCCCCTCCAGCAGCACCTCGTAGAGGAAAGTGTACTGCTCCTGGGGAGGAGAACGCAGGCGTCGGCCCCAGAGCCCAGCCCACCGCAGGGGGCCGGCGCATGGGGCCAGAAGGTGATGCCTGGTGCTGCGGGGAGCCCAGATACCATGTGCCATCAATTGCACCCTGAGGGCAGGCTGGAGACTCACCCCTACACCAGGCACGCTCGCGCCAACGGAACAGACTCTTGGCACATTTCTCTTGAGGGGGGAGAGTCCCCATTTTCTGTCCCCACCCCCAGCCCATCCTTTGGCCCCACATGGTGGAAATCCTCCCTTTGGTACCAGTGGCCTGAGCGCAGCCCCCCGAGCCTGCCAGTGCTGCCCCAGGTGCCAGACAGACCCTACAGTGATGGGTGCCCCAGACAAAGCAGTTACAGGGATGGGTTAGTGCCCCCCTGCTCCAGCCAGGGACCAGCGACCCCCTCTGCCACATTCTCACCACCCAGGCCACATGCAGCCAGGGCGCCCTGCTCACCCTGCAGCCCCTCCGGCAGAGCGACATCATCTGGGGGACAGTCCCACCTGCAGCCGTGCCCCCTCCAGGGAGCCGTACCAGCAGAGCCGTGGGACATGCTCATCCTCATGCTCCAGAGGAAGGTGTGGGGAGCAGGGAGTGGGGATTTGACCTGGGGATGTGTCAGGGGAGTTTCATTGGCGATGGGAGACTTCCCTTGAGGGAAGAAACATGAGTCTGTAACCTGAGCCAGGAGTGGGGGTTGGGGTGAGGTGACACCTTCTGCCTGGGAAACTGGACAAAGGCTGGAGGAGGAGCTGTGGGGATGCTGGGGGAGATGGCTGGAGGGGTTTCCAGTTTTGGGGGAGTTGGCTGGGGAAGAGGAGGGAGCCCCAAGGCTGGGGTCTAATCTCCTGCCCCCCAGAAGGGCCTGACTAAGGGATCCTGTTTATGCCTGCAAGCTCTGGTTTGAACTGTGTTCCTGTCGTCTCCAATAAACCTTCTGTTCTACTGGCTGGCTGAGAGTCACGGTGAATCGCAGGAAGTGGGGGTGCAGGGCCCTGAGTCCCCCTCACGCCATGACAGAAGGAGACAATCCCCCTGGATCCTGCCCTGGGTGCAGGCCCCCGTAACCCCAGCCAGGTGATCAGTTCCCTGCAGGCACATGTGTGAGGATTCCCATCCCAGGAGAACCTGTGGGAGCTGGGTACCTGCCCAGGATGCTCTCAGATCCCAGCTTGGGGGTTCCGCCAGCACCTCCGTGACTCAGACCTCTCCTCAGAGACAGGGTCCCAAAATCTAGTCTCTAGGCAGCCTCAGTGCTGGCTGCCTGCAGCTGGGCCACATGCCGCATGGTCGGGCTGGCTTTGCAGGGCCAAATCATAGAATCATAGAATATCAGGGTTGGAAGGGACCTCAGGAGGTCATCTAGTCCAACCCCCTGCTCAAAGCAGGACCAATCCCCAACTAAATCATCCCAGCCAGAGCTTTGTCAAGCCTGACCTTAAAAACTTCTAAGGAAGGAGATTCCACCACCTCCCTAGGTAACGCATTCCAGTGTTTCACCACCCTCCTAGTGAAAAAGTTTTTCCTAATATCCAACCTAAACCTCCCGCACTGCAACTTGAGACCATTACTCCTTGTCCTGTCCTCTTCCACCACTGAGAATAGTCTAGAACCATCCTCTCTGGAACCACCTCTCAGGTAGTTGAAAGCAGCTATCAAATCCCCCCTCATTCTTCTCTTCCGCAGACTAAACAATCCCAGTTCCCTCAGCCTCTCCTCATAAGTCATGTGTTCCAGACCCCTAATCATTTTTGTTGCCCTCCACTGGACTCTCTCCAATTTATCCACATCCTTCTTGTAGTGTGGGGCCCAAAACTGGACACAGTACTCCAGATGAGGCCTCACCAATGTCGAATAGAGGGGAACGATCACGTCCCTCGATCTGCTCGCTATGCCCCTACTTATACTTCCCAAAATGCCACTGGCCTTCTTGGCAACAAAGGCACACTGCTGATTCCTATCCAGCTTCTCGTCCACTGTCACCCCTAGGTCCTTTTCCGCAGAACTGCTGCCTAGCCATTCGGTCCCTAGTCTGTAGCTGTGCAATCCATGCGGAGGGTCCCTTGTGGGGGGAGTGTGACAAAGTGGGACTGTTCTTAATGGTTCCTCTGAATAGTGTGGGGGTGCCTCAGTTTTCCCTATGCAGTTCTTAAGTATCTAGGTGGTGAGATAAGGGTGTATGATCGTTGCAGAGCCCTAGAGGGCAGGTGTGTGCAGGGGTCTGGACACAGAGAATGGCCAACACCCTGTTTCCTGGCAACTGATGGCCTGGGCCCTTCCCCCCTCCCAAGGTGAGAGCTAAAGGGTTGGAGAACAAAGGAATCCGGTGACCTCCTGGTCCGGGAAAGGGACAAAGCCCAGAGGAGGAGGGGCTGGAGGGAGTTTTCAGTTCGGGGCTGGCTGGGACATGGAGTGAAGGGCAGACGTGGTTGTTTGGCTCCCTGCCACCCAAAATGGACCCAGCTGAGGGGTCCTGTTCTCTGCACCTACAAGCTCTGTGTTAGACCATGTTCCTGTCGTTTAATAAACCTCTGTTTTACTGGCTGGCTGAGAGTCACATCTGACTGCGAAGTTGGGGGGCAGGACCCTCTGGCTTCCCCAGGACCCCGCCTGGGCGGACTCACTGTAGGAAGTGCACGGAGGGGCAGAGGAGGCTGAATGCTCCGAGGTCAGACCCAGGAAGGTGGAAGCCGTGTGAGCTTTGTGTCCTGAAGACAGTCTGCTCCCAGAGTGGAGACTTCCCCAGAGTCCTGACTGGCTTCATGGGGAGCAGTTCCAGAGCATCGCCCAGGGACTCTGTGACACCTGGTGGAAGCGGTGGGATGTACTGCACCCCGCGGATGGCGCTTTCTGCAGTAAGTGACTGGGGAGCAGTAAAACGAAAGGAGATTGACGGGGACCAGGCGTGCTGAAGATCAGAGAGAGACGGTTTCAGGGGCTGGTTAAACCCTGGAAGTGTGTGACCAGAGAGAATGACTTTTGCAGTAACAGGGTTCCCCTGGGGATTGCAGCGAGCGGTCCCAGGGGCGGAGGAGTCTGCAGCTCGACCCTGGCAAAGAAGTGGTGACCTCGAGAAGGGCTGGCACACTAGGGGTTCTCCCTGGAAACCGTGGGGAGCTGAGAGCACACAGGCCTGTGTGTCCACAACAACTTGGGAAGAGCGGAGTGACGGCCTGTCACCGTCTCCTGAAGAAGGACATTGTAACCCTGTGCAAAAAGAGAGGGTTGAGCATTGGAAAGTTCACCAAGGCACAGTTAATCGTGCAGCTGGAGGAGGATGACCGCTCTAAGGAACAGATTCCTGACCCCAAATGGGGCTATAGCAGGATCTGGGAGCAGCTGGAGTGGTAGCCAGGCATCCCCAAGACTCCTGTCCCCGACCAGACGGGGGTCTTCACGATTGGGTTCCCCATCCGGGGATCGGAGACGGACGGGATTGGAGCTGAGTCCGAGAGAGCAAGAGGACTGTGAGAGACAGCGAGAGCCCGAGAAAGGGCTGCAGAAGCAGCAGCAGCATGAACTGGCGGTGGTGGAGCGGAGAGGCCTAGGGGACCTCCCCGGGGTGAGTGGGGATAGACCCCGGGGGGCCAGTTCCGCAGGGAACCTTGAGACTAAATTGCTGCCCCTGGTTAAGGAGGGGGGATGTGGATGCCACCTCACTGCCTTTGAGCAGGCTGGCGATTTGAACCAGGGGGACCCTGCGGAAAAGCCCCGGTGTCTAGCTCCCTTGCTGGGTCCCAAGGCCACAGACTCCGGTCAGCCAGATGGGTGGGGAGGTGGACAGGCTCCCACTCCTGACCCCAACCTATATGTCTGTGTGGAGTTTCTTGGGGCCAGGCCCCTCAGACCCCCAGTGGGAGCGGAAGGGGATGGTCAATGGGGAGACATTCCTGGGGTGGCAAGATCCTGGGACAGAGAGAACTGGTGTCAGGCCCTAGGTGGTGCAGCCTCAGAGGCTGAGGGCCTGTGTGAGCTGGGTGAGGGTCCCAGGGACGAAGCCCCTCGCCCTGCCTATGGCCCAGATCCCTGTGTAGACCCAGGAGGGGTGGGGCTGGCCGGCCGTTGGGGTTCTCCAGGACACCGGCTGCGAGACCCTGTTGTGGGGTGACTGTGTCTCTTTGGGACAGGATCCAGGCCCTGCTCCTGTAACTGCCAAGGGTTTGAATTTGAATCCAGGGAACCAATCGGTGGAGAGGGAAATGGTCAGTGAAAATGCAGATGACCTGGCTGGCATGGGGGAGGAGCGGCTAAGTTCAGGCTACTGGCCTGCCTGTAACCAGACCCCTGGGGCTGCGTGGGACAGAGAGATGCTCCCTGCCCCCTTGCACACTGGAGAGGGGGCTCAGGCTGGCTCTGATGCAGTGAGGAAAGCAGAGAGCTCGCTGCCTACCCCCACTGGGACAACAAGGGCAGCGCTGAGCACAATGGGAGCTGAGACCCCAGCTGAGTGGGGGGAGACAAAGGCAGGGCAGGGGATCTGTGGGGAGTGGCAAGGTGCTTGGTAAGGAAAGTCTGGATGAGCCTAGGCAGCCTTGTGAGCTGATGGCTGTGTCTAGTCAGCAGGGTGGGAAGGTGAGGAGAGTGGGAGATGAGTGTCCCTGGACCTTACCTGTTAGCCGGGTGGAGAATTGGGACAGTGAAGGAAACATGCCTGTGTCTGTCAGGGGTATTGACTTGCCTATGGAGGGAGCTACCCTGGTCTCCAAGCAGTTGTCTGTGACCAGCCTTGTGTGCTGGGACAAAGAGAGAGAGGTCCCAAGCTGTGTGTCTGGGAAAGGAGAAAGTGTGTCCGGCTCTTCTTTGTCTGTGGAGCAGACAGAAGAGGCCTTTCAGCCTGTGATGGTTGAGGGGAGTGCAGTTGTCTCAGAGCTGGTTCTGGATTCAGCTAAAGCCCAGGAAGGGAATGGCCCTAAGTTTGTATCTGCTCGGGTGAATGGCCCTGTAACTAGGTCGCATCCAGTTAGTGTCTATGTAAAATCCCAGGGACCAGACAATTCTGGTGCTTGTATTTTGCCTGTTGCTCGTGTGTGGCTGGGAAAGGGTGGAGCAACTCTGTCTAATCAGGGTGAGATCCTAGCCAGGGCACAAGGAGAGCGGGAAGGTGATGTGATTGTCTTACCTACTGAGGGTGTGGAAACCTATAGCAAGAAGGAAAAGATTCCTGAACTTGTGTATGGCAAAGGGAAGGAGAATGCTTCTGACCTTTTATCTAGGAAGCCTGTAAGTTTGCCTGAAAGGGGATTGTGTAGGAATCCGCCGGATGGGCCAGAGGTGATTCTGGATGTAAGGGAGACCCAGAAAGAGTCTGTTGTTGCTCAGGAAAGTGTTCCTCTAGAGCAAGCCCTAGGTAAAGAGGGTAAGGGCAGAATTTCTGTGAGGGGTGAATTGTTGCATAGAAAAGCCCTGAGGAAAGGAATTCTCATGGAGTCTTTGCAAGCAGTTTACTGCAACTGAAGAGTGTGAAAGTGATTTAATCAAGAAAGTTTCAGTTCCTAACAGCCAGAAATTTTCTGTTGTGAATGGATCCACTCACTTTCCTGTTGAAGGATCCAGTGTGGAGAGCTTTGAGAAGGTCTCAGATGAAGTGAAAGCTGTTAAGAAAGTTAAACAGTCCTATAACCAAGTGACTGTGTTTGGCCAGCTTGTTGGGGAGAAGACCCAATCCCAGTTTGACCCCCTGGGTTTTGGGGTGGCCAAAGGGCACGGGCCGCATAAACCTTCCCACATGCGACCTGCGAGTGCTATCGATCACCCCCGACCTAAGGGAGGGCGTGAAACTGGAAGGGCCTGGTGTAACTCCTACCAAGGAATGGGAGAGATGCTGGGGCATCCATGGGAACGTTGGTGGCTTCGAACTTCCCCAGGCCACCAGCTAATGTGACCCTACTCAGTTCGATCTCAAAGGGGGGAGAGATGTGACAAAGTGGGACTGTTCTTAATGTTTCCTCTGAATAGTGTGGGGGTGCCTCAGTTTCCCCTATGCAGTTCTTAAGTGTCGAGGTGGTGGGGTACCGGTGTATGATCATTGCAGAGCCCTAGAGGGCAGGTGTGTGCAGGGGTCTGGACACAGAGAATGTCCAACACCCTGTTTCCTGGCAACTGATGGCCTGGGCCCTTCTCCCCTGCAAGGTGAGAGCTAAAGGGTTGGAGAACAAAGGAATCAGGTGACCTCCAGGCCCAGGAAAGGGACAAAGCCCAGAAGAGGAGGGGCTGGAGAGAGTTTCAGTTTGGGGCTGGCTGGGACATGGAGTGAAGTGCAGACGTGGTTGTCTGGCTCACTGCCCCCCAAAATGGACCCAGCTGAGGGGTCCTGTTTTCTGCACCTGCAAGCTCTGTTTTAGACCATGTTCCTGTCATTTAATAAACCTCTGTTTTACTGGCTGGCTGAGAGTCACGTCTGACTGCGAAGTTGGGGGGCAGGACCCTCTGGCTTCCCCAGGACCCCACCTGGGTGGACTCGCTGGGGGAAGCGCAGGGAGGGGCAGAGGATGTTGAATGCTCCGAGGTCAGACCCAGGAAGGTGGAAGCCGGGTGAGCTGTGTGTCCTGCAGACAGGCTGCTCCCAGAGAGGAGACTTCCCCAGAGTCCTGACTGGCTTCAAGAGGAGCAGTTCCAGAGCATCGCCTGGGGACTCTGTGACAACCCAGGACAACCCAGACCCAGGAGCTGAGCTCAGCAGTAAGGGGGCGGAACCCTTAAAGTACCTGCCCTTTGAATTGGGCACTACGGGTGGGGCAGGCAGCAAACCCCGGCTCGGCGGCACAGGGAACTCGACTGAGCTCCTCACCTTTGTTTGCACCATGCTGACCCGCTGCTCCCGCAGCCGCTGCACGCAGCGGAAAACATCCACGCTGCCCTCGGCCCGCGCCATCTTCAGGAGGACGTCCAGGGCGATGAAGGTGCCTGTGCGGCCGATCCCTGCGCTGGGGACAGGGGAAGGGAGTGAGGCGCTCGCCGGGCCCTGGGCCTGTCCCCCACCCCCAGCCCTCTCTGCCCAGTACCTGCAGTGCACAAGCACGGGGCCGGCAGGCGCCTCCGACACCCTCTCGTTCACCATCTCCACCAGCTGCAGAAGCCGGGCCGGGTTGCTGGGGACCCCGTGGTCTGGCCACAGCTGGTAGTGAAAGTGCTGCGCGTTTCTCGGGAGCGGAGAACCTGCCTGAGGAGAGGGCAGACAGGAGAGGTGGGAGGACGGAGGTTGTCAAAAGGGCAGCGGGGGCGGGGAATTGAGCAGGGGCTCCCAGCACTCAGAACTCCCTCCAGCACCAGCAGCCCCCGAGGCCAGGCTGCTGGGAGCCCCGGAGCCCTGGGAACATGGAGCTGCAGGGGAGTCCCTGCACCAGGAGGGCTGGGGCGATGGAGTGGGGCTGGCTGGCGGGTGCAGGCTAGTTTCAGGGCCCAGCCAGGCTACGCTCCACAGGCTGTTTGGATCTAGAGCCACCAGGGCCCAGCCATACTGCAGGGGCCGGTGCGCTCGCCTTTGGGATTTGCCCACAAGCAGCTCTCCCATCTGCGCAGGCCAGAGACAGGGCAACAGCTGGAGCTGGCTGCTGGACGGGCTAACGCACAGGGTGTTATTCTCCAGGGGCCTGCCTGCATCTCCCGGGCACAACAGCAACACAGGGCATGCCCCGCATCCAGGATGGGCCAGGTCCCCAGGTGAGTGACGGGTCAGCAGCTCCTCCCAGCCAGCTGCTGGGCCCCGGGAAATGCCCACACCCCTGGAAATGCCTGCTCCCCAGCACTGAGTTTATACATGCTGCAACAGCTGCTCTGGGTTAGGTTTGCTTGTGCATCGGATGAAGCGGGCTGTAGCTCACGAAAGCTCATGCTCAAATAAATTGGTTAGTCTCTAAGGTGCCACAAGTCCTCCTTTTCTGTTTGCTTGTGAGTGTATCATGGGCCTGCAGAGGGCGCTCCCGGCCCCTGGAACCTTCCCCCCATGCCCCCCCCCCCATGCCCCCTCCCCCCGACACATTGCCGTCCATCCCCAGCTCTGTGGAGTCCCTGGGACCCTGGAGGGGCAGGGCTGCCAGGCTGTCGGTAAAGCCCAAGGAGGCTCTGCCCCTTGCCCCCCGCCTTACCCTCTGCAGGCGGAAGGTGCGTGTGACCAGGCTCGTGGTTGTCCAGGTGTTGCTGAGAGTCACAGTGAAGTCCCCGCAGACCTGCTCGCCCTCCGGCCAGTACTGCTCACACTTGGTCTGTTAACAGCGGACGACTTCTGAGCACTGACAAACCCCCACTCTGTGCCCCCCACCCTGCACGAGGTCTGTGCTGGTGAGTGGGGACGGGAGCCCCTGGCAGGGAACGACCCTGGCCTGCCCTGGCCTGGGCATGCCCAGGACACCAGCCAGGGGAAATGTCTGGCATCACCATGGTGTCACAGGTGCTCCCTACACTGCCCACACCTGCAATCCCACCGTACTCCTCCCGGCATGCTGGCCAGCCTCCTAATAGCTCCCCGGCCGTGCTGAGAGTCGGGAGGGGAATGGCCCCACCTCCTTCCCATCCACGGGCGCAGGGATCACCCCATGCCAGGCCCAAGGATCGCTGGCCCCTGACTGGCAGGCAGATGTGCTGGGAAGTTGGTCTGGAATTTCTTCCCCTCTCCGCACAGCTGCCGGAGGCACTCTCTCTTTCTCCACCCCCATCTCCATCTCTCCACCCAGGACCGGGGTTCCTCTCAGTGCACCATTCCCTTAGCCTCCCCCTCTCGTGTCTCTGCTCAGCTCCCCCTTGGTGCCCCAGGACAGGGACCCCTCCCAGAGTGCATCTCACCCTGGGCTGGCCTTCCCCTCCCGCGTGGGGACAGCTATGCAGAAGGGAAAGCAGCAGCCGGGGTCCCCAACAGCCCGGCTGGGCTGGGCGAGACCTGGCTGGCTGAGGCCCCAGCGGAGCGTGGACCCCGGCTGGGAGGGGCTGGGGTGTCTGAGCACCTGGGCCCCAAAGGAAGCTGGGTTCTCTACCTTGTTTTGCTCCACCAGGCCCGTTAACATCACAATGACCGAGACCTTCTCCTGCCAGATCATCTGCCAGAAATCCCCCACGGTGCCAGGCAGCGGGCCTGGGGGAGAGGAACATACCACGTCAGTATCCCCATGCTCCTGAGCCAGGGCGGGGGCGCCATGCCCGTCCTAGGGGTCAGGGAGGGACTGAGTGAGTGCACCACCGGGACCCGGGCAGCTGGCATGCTAATGGACCAGGAAGCCCAGTTACGCAGCCCATGAGCCTGTCCCCGAGGACTCCAGCTCAGAGCAATGCACAGCAGCCGGGCAGCCCAGAGAGCACAGTGGCTGAGGTCAGAGATGCCAGGGCCCAGTGTGGGGGCTGCCCAGCCGCTGGGCACAAGGGGGCAGGGCGGGGGTGAGGATGAGCCGGGGGGGGGTGTCAAGGCAGGTGCTGCTCTCAGCTGTTTCCCACAGTCCAGTGACCAAAGGGGTAAGTACGTTCTCTGCAGTAGCATGTGATTTGGCTCTGAGCTCAGTACCAGGCGGATCCCGTGGGCCAGAGGGCCTCACGCTGGGGCGTCTCCTATCTGCACGGGAGCCTGGAGACCAGGACCCGGGCGCTGCACAGAGCCAGGGGGCTGGGAGCTGCAGGGGGTGGCATCTGGAGGGGGAAGCTCCCAGCACTTTCAGTGACTAGCGCCGTGAGCCCCTGGGCACATGGCAGCTGTCTGCGCACCTGTCTGCGCCTGTCTGCGCCTGTCTGCGCCTGTCTGCACGCCTGTCTGTGCCTGCCTGCACCTGTCTGCGCCTGTCTGCACCTGTCTGCGCCTGTCTGCACCTGTCTGCCCCTGTCTGCGCGCCTGCCTGCGCCTGCCTGCGTCTGTCTACGCCTGCCTGCCTGTGCCTGCCTGTGTCTGTCTGCTCCTGCCAGCGCGCTTGTTTGCGCCTGCCTGTGCACCTGCCTGCGCCTGTCTGTGCGCCTGTCTGTGCCTGCCTGCACCTGTCTGCGTGCCTGTCTGCGCCTGCCTGTGCCTGCCTGCGCCTGTCTGTGTCTCTCTGCGTGCCTGTCTGTGTGCCTGTCTATGCCTGTGTGACGAAGCGGGACTGTTCTTAATGTTTCCTCTGAATAGTGTGGGGGTGCCTCAGTTTCCCCTAGGCAGTTTTTAAGTATCTAGGTGGTGGGATAAGGGTGTATGATGGTTGCAGAGCCCTAGAGGGATGTGACAAAGCGGGACTGTTCTTAATGTTTCCTCTGAATATTGTGGGGGTGCCTCAGTTTCCCCTATGCAGTTCTTAAGTATCTAGGTGGTATGTGCAGGGGTCTGGTCACAGAGAATGGCCAACACCCTGTTTCCTGGCCACTGATGGCCTGGGCCCTTCCCCCCTGCAAGGTGAGAGCTAAAGAGTTGGAGAACAAAGGAATCAGGTGCCCTCCTGGCCCGAGGAAAGGGACAAAGTCCAGAGGAGGAGGGGCTGGAGAGAGTTTCAGTTTGGGCCTGGCTGGGACATGGAGTGAAGTGCAGACGTGGTTGTCTGGCTCACTGCCCCCCAAAATGGACCCGGCTGAGGGGTCCTGTTCTCTGCACCTACAAGCTCTGTGTTAGACCATGTTCCTGTCGTCTAATAAACCTCTGTTTTACTGGCTGGCTGAGAGTCCCGTCTGACTGCGGAGTTGGGGGGCAGGACCCTCTGGCTTCCCCAGGACCCCGCCTGGGCGGACTCGCTGTGGGAAGCGCACGGAGGGACAGAGGAGGCTGAATGCTCCGAGGTCAGACCCAGGAAGGGGGAAGCCGGGTGAGCTGTGTGTCCTGCAGACAGGCTGCTCACAGAGAGGAGACTGCCCCAGAGTCCTGACTGGCTTCATAGGGAGCAGTTCCAGAGCATCGCCCGGGGACCCCGTGACAGCCTGCCTGTGCCTGTCTGTGTTTCTGTCTGCACCTGCACAGCACGTAATGAGCATGTGGGACAAGGTGCTACAAGGTGTCACTGAGGCAGCACTTAGCAGCAGTCCACAGGGCTCGGCGCGGCGCGGAGGCTGAGAACCGCCAGCATTGCCTCAGAGGGGATAATGATATAGCAGGGTCCAACACCAGCTGCCTTGGGCAGGAGCCAACCCCAGTGGATGCAGGTTAGGAAGAGACTTCTCCAGCAGCTGGCCACTCCAGAGCTGGCCACTCGGCATTGTCCACTGCAAGAGGTAGGAGCCCAGGCTGGATGGGCCCTGGGCTAGGCTGGCTTGCAGTCCGTGTGTCTTGGGAATGGCTGGACTGGGCACGCCCCAGAGTTGGGACTGACTGCCCTGGCCCTGGACAGGGCTACACGCTGGACAAAGCTACCCGCCCCCCAGAGCATCCCCCCATTGTCCCCAGCCAGGAGCACTCACCTTGAGCAGCAATGAAGAAGCGGGGGCTCCGGTAGCTCTGAGAGGGAGGGGAGACAGCAACAGCGTTAGTCACATGATCTCAACACTTAACAAATCAGAAGTATGAGATGAAATACCCAGGCCAGCCCTGAGCTGGGCCATGTGCCTGGGTCACAGGGCAGGGCCAGTTCCCACAGCCCCCACCCCCCACACGGTAGCCAAGTCCTCCGCCCACTGGGAGCTACGCAGGGCTCTCTGGGCCCACATGCGCTTCTCTTTGACAAGGAGATCTCTGCTCCGGGGCCCCTCGGACGCAGGTGCTCAGGCAGAGCGCAAGTGTGAGACTATCCAGCTCCTGCCGTATCTGGCATCCCCAGAGGAAACCACCTGGGCCTGGTGTCACCAGAGTATGCGAGTAGGGTGACTGGCCGTCGCAATAGCAGGGGCTTTGTCTTACATATGCAGCTATACATGCCCCCCACACACACACATATCCCCTGGAAAAAAAAATCCCCATTTTTCACCCTTGCTACTCGGTCACCCTCTGTGAGAGACGCTGCCCAGCCCCGGTGCACTCTGGAGGGCCTCGTGTATGCAGCCTCTGCCCAGGACCTATGTGACCTGGGGCAGGGCTGAGGGAGGGCGGCTGTCGCTTTGAGCAGGGGGGTGTGTGTGTTCCTGTGGTGCCAGGAGGGGAGGGCTGCCCGTGTTCCCTGGAGCTTCCCCTGCCCCCTTTCCCCGCACTGAGCAGCAGCAGCGTGCCCGTCGCTGCCCGGGTACCTACATCGACGTAGCTGGCATTGATGTAGTCAGCGCCCACGTTGGCGGACTGCAGCACCACGCGGCAGTGATCATCTGAAAGACAAAGGGGGCCCCGATCACTGATCAGAGAAGCCCAGTCGAGGGGCTGGGACCATGCTCCTGCCCATGCTTCCTCCAGACTGACAGACATGGCCAGACCCACAGCCTCGAGCCAGGGCCCCTGGCAGTGCCGTGCCCAGCTTCGCCGTGACCCTGGAGTTCTCAGGTGAGGAAGGACAGCCCTGCTTTGACTCCCTGTGCGATCTTGGGCAAGTCCCATAGCCTCTCTGTGCCTCAATTCCCCACCTGCACAGTGGGGACAGCAGCCCTGCCCCACCACACAGAGCAGCCACCTCTGGCAGGAGAGGTGGCAGCTGCTTAGCTACATTGCAAATCTACTCCGGGGAAGAATGAAGAGAGACTCATACATGCAAGGAAAGGCGCCAGCCGGGGAATGTCGGGAGGCAGAACAGAATTATCTGAGTTGACATTTGATCAGGACGGCAGGTTGACCCCCCGACTCTGGAGAAATGAGCCATGAGATCTAGAACGACCACGAGAGGTGAGGGGCTCCATTTTACGTAGCAGCCAAATGATGGCACCTCCAGCAACACAGGGCCCTCAGTGCCACTTGAGGGTCATAGAATCATAGAATCATAGAATATCAGGGTTGGAAGGGACCCCAGAAGGTCATCTAGTCCAACCCCCTGCTCGAAGCAGGACCAATTCCCAGTTAAATCATCCCAGCCAGGGCTTTGTCAAGCCTGACCTTAAAAACCTCTAAGGAAGGAGATTCTACCACCTCCCTAGGTAACGCATTCCAGTGTTTCACCACCCTCTTAGTGAAAAAGTTTTCCCTAATATCCAATCTAAACCTCCCCCCACTGCAACTTGAGACCATTACTCCTCGTTCTGTCATCTGATACCATTGAGAACAGTCTAGAGCCATCCTCTTTGGAACCCCCTTTCAGGTAGTTGAAAGCAGCTGTCAAATCCCCCCTCATTCTTCTCTTCTGCAGGTTAAACAATCCCAGCTCCCTCAGCCTCTCCTCATAAGTCATGTGTTCTAGACCCCTAATCATTTTTGTTGCCCTTCGCTGGACTCTCTCCAATTTATCCACATCCTTCTTGAAGTGTGGGGCCCAAAACTGGACACAGTACTCCAGATGAGGCCTCACCAATGTCGAATAGAGGGGAACGATCACATCCCTCGATCTGCTCGCTATGCCCCTACTTATACATCCCAAAATGCCATTGGCCTTCTTGGCAACAAGGGCACACTGCTGACTCATATCCAGCTTCTCGTCCACTGTCACCCCTAGGTCCTTTTCCGCAGAACTGCTGCCTAGCCATTCGGTCCCTAGTCTGTAGCTGTGCATTGGGTTCTTCCGTCCTAAGTGCAGGACCCTGCACTTATCCTTATTGAACCTCATCAGATTTCTTTTGGCCCAATCCTCCAATTTGTCTAGGTCCTTCTGTATCCTATCCCTCCCCTCCAGCGTATCTACCACTCCTCCCAGTTTAGTATCATCCGCAAATTTGCTGAGAGTGCAATCCACACCATCCTCCAGATCATTTATGAAGATATTGAACAAAACCGGCCCCAGGACCGACCCTTGGGGCACTCCACTTGATACCGGCTGCCAACTAGACATGGAGCCATTGATCACTACCCGTTGAGCCCGACAATCTAGCCAGCTTTCTACCCACCTTGTAGTGCATTCATCCAGCCCATATTTCCTTAACTTGCTGACAAGAATACTGTGGGAGACCGTGTCAAAAGCTTGGTCAGCATGGACTTGGAGGGGACAGCGAGGCCTACTGAGTCACCCACCCTGGTCCCTGCTGCACAGCGCCCCCTAGCACCATGCTGGGGCATTGCAGTCAGCACTCACTCCTAAGGGAGAGCACCCCACTGAGTCACCCACCCTGGTCCCTGCTGGACAGCGCCCCCTAGCACCATGCCAGGGCATTGCAGTCAGCACTCACTCCTAAGGGAGAGCACTGAGTCACCCACCCCGGTCCCTGCTGCACAGCGCCCCCTAGCACCTTGCCGGGGCATTGCCGTCAGCACTCACTCCTAAGGGAGAGCACCCCACTGAGTCACCCACCCCGGTTCCTGCTGCACAGCGCCCCCTAGCACCATGCTGGGGCATTGCAGTCAGCACTCACTCCTAAGGGAGAGCACCCCACTGAGTCACCCACCCTGGTCCCTGCTGGACAGCGCCCCCTAGCACCATGCCGGGGCATTGCAGTCAGCACTCACTCCTAAGGGAGAGCACTGAGTCACCCACCCCGGTCCCTGCTGCACAGCGCCCCCTAGCACCTTGCCGGGGCATTGCCGTCAGCACTCACTCCTAAGGGAGAGCACCCCACTGAGTCACCCACCCCGGTTCCTGCTGCACAGCGCCCCCTAGCACCATGCTGGGGCATTGCAGTCAGCACTCACTCCTAAGGGAGAGCACCCCACTGAGTCACCCACCCCGGTTCCTGCTGGACAGCGCCCCCTAGCACCTTGCCGGGGCATTGCAGTCAGCACTCACTCCTAAGAGAGAGCACCCCTCTGAGTCACCCACCCCGGTCCCTGCTGCACAGCGCCCCCTAGCACCTTACCGGGGCATTGCAGTCAGCACTCACTCCTAAGGGAGAGCACCCCACTGAGTCACCCGCCCCACTCCCTGCTGCACCTAGGTTTCGTTGGCAGTCTCCCATCTGCAGCAGCACCCAGGCCCAGCATTGCTTGGCTTCTAAGCTCCGCTGGGATCCCAGCCCAGGTGGCCTGGCTGCAGCTTCTCCTTTGTAAAACGAAGCGTTTACAGAGTGCTCAGCAAAGATGCGAGAAGAGGCTCCGCTCACATGGGATGACACTCTTGTAGCGGTTCTTGGCCTGGTTCCAGGGCTCCTTGCCGGCATGGCCTGGGTGCAGCAAACCTGAGACCAGTTTCTGCAGGGGAAGAGAAGGGACTTAGGTTAGGCACACCCAGTTGCCAGCCCTATCAGCACAGGATCCAGCTTGAGGGCACCACACCTGCCTGGGCGCTGGGGCCAGAGCGTGACCAAAGCGGCCTGCACAGCTCAGCCAGCATGGCTGATAGCAGCTTGTCTACACGGGGAGTCATTCCAGAATAAGGTGGGGTCGAGCACTATAGCTGATAGCTCCAGCTAGTCTGGAACGGCGCCCCCTGAGGCCATTCTGGAACTGCGCTCCTTGAGGCCATTCTGGAATGGCACCCCATGTTGCTGGGATGTGTATATATGTCTATCTCCATATATCCATGTAATAGGTTATAGGCTATTAAGGCCTAGTGTAAATGAAGTATGCTTAACGTAAGTACGTGTATTACATGTTAACAACAAAAACAAAAACTAATGACATCACAAAGTAAATTATAAATGAAGGCTTCACACATTGGCAATTTAAAGTCATTTATTAATCCAACGCCCGGTTTAAATAAGGTGCAGTATTTGTGAACTTCCTGCACCTTGTAATTAAAAAACCCTCAACTAACCATCGGAACTTCTAACTACGAACTCTGGGGTAGTATGCTTGGGATATAAATGTAAAGTAAGTAAGGTTTATTTTATAAGCAATAAAAAGTACGTAAAGTATTATATACCAGCACTGTGTCCGGTATCTGCCTGCTCCCCCATCCTGTAGGGAGGCCCCTGCTGTGGGTCTAACAATGTGGCCACTCTGGAACAGTGCCCCATAGGGCCATTCTGGAATCAGAGTGTCCCAAAGGGGAGCTATTTCCCCATGTAGATGTGCCCTACAGCCTCACTGCAGCGTAGTGAGACTGAAATGTGCAGTGAGTTCTGGCACTGACCTGGTACTCCGCATCGCGCCCCACTGGGGGCCGTTCAGGATTTGCGTCGTCCTCTGCCCCCTCCTCCTCCATTTCTGCTCTCTTAAACCGCTTCAGAGACTCTAGCAGTTCAGCCACCGGGATCTGTGTGCGCAGCCTGCTTGCACCTGCTGGGATCCGGAAACCAGGAGTTAGCCTGTCCCTGAGGCCTGGGAGCTCTGCCATTTGAACTGGGCTGGCGTCACCAACTCTGCTGGCCAGGGCCCCCCATTCCTGGGAGGGTGTCAGCATCCCCTTCTGGCCAGGGCCCCCCATCCCTGTGAGAGTGTCCCTCCCCCCGCCGGTCAGGGCAGGCCCTGGTCCCAGGGAGGGCATCCCCATCCCCTGCCAGCCAGGGCACCCAACCCCTGTAAGGGCATCACCCTCCCCGCCGGCCAGATCCCCATCCCAGGGAGGGCATTAGGAGCCCTCAGCCTGTGTACTGATCTGCCAGCACATCCAGACAGGGCCAGGGTTGGCCTCGCTCTGCCCACACCTCCTCGGTTCCTCTTCAGGGGGATTGCCCCGTTGCTCTTGTCCTTTGGCTCGTCCCGCTTCTTCCTGCAGATTAGCAAGATGAGACCCGGATGAGCAGTGGAGAGCCTGAGAGGGGAGAGCATGTCCCACGACGCCCTGGGAATGCCCCCCAGCTGGCTATGGCTTCTCCTGGGGCCTGCAGGCCAAAGGCAGCCCATGTAACCGCCCCTGCTGTCATCGGCGTCAATCAGCCTGGCCAGTCCACCTCAGCCCCCAGGATGCAGTGCTCTGCCTTGCTCCAGAGAGCCTGGCCCATGGCACACTGGGATGTGCAGGTGCCCAAGCCTCACCCCCCAAGACCCCGCTATGCAGCGTACGGGGCTAGGCCACACTCCCCGGAGTTGCTTGGGCCTTCAGGTGGCTCTGGCTCTGCTGCCCAGGCAGGGGCCGTTCCAGTGGGCAGGGCAGGCAGTCTGGAACCGCAGGGGAGCCGTGCCCAGGGAGGGGCTGTACTTTGTGAATTACAGTCGCTCTGGTGCTGCTGAAAGCAGCCAGCTCACAGCCCTGCAGCCGAACTGGCAGCCTTGTTCATGCCCAGCTCCGCAAGACATGCGTCCCCCACAGTCCCTGCCAATGTGGTTTGGGATGTCGCTGTCTGTGCATTAGGCAGGGCTTCATTTGTGCCACGGCTGAGCCCTGGCACCTCTGGGCCTGGGAGGGCTGGGCCCCGGCACCTCTGCACCTGGCAGTTCAGAGCCCCGGCACCTCTGGGCCTGGCAGGGCTGGGCCTCCATACCTCTGGGCCTAGGGTGACCAGATAGCAAGTGTGAAAAATTGGGACAGGAGGTGGGGGGTAATAGGAGCCCATATAAAAAGAAGGCCCAAATATCAGGACTGTCCCTATAAAATTGGGACATCTGGTCACTCTATCTGCGCCTGGCAGGACTGAGCCCCGGCATCTCTGGGCCTGGCAGTTCAGAGCCCCGGCACCTCTGTGTTTGCCCCATCAGTTGAGCCCTGGCACTGCTTTCATTACAAATTAAACTCTGGCACTAGGAAGTGGGCTGCCACCCCCACTAGGTTTCCCACACCATGGAGAGGTCACTGAAGGGCCAGGGGACACCGGTGACTCAGTCACTTCCATCTGTGGCTGGATTGCATCTGGATTATTGCATTATTCAATACCAGAGGCTCTGTCCCACTGCCCAGCCAGCAGTGCTGGGTGCTCTGTCCTCAGGCACATCAAGGCCAGTTCGGAGGGCATGTTACCAGGCCAATGACCCGGGTGCCAACTAGGAGGCGTGTCTGGCTCAGCCATGGACCAGGTGAAAAGAAATGTACTGATCCCGATGCCCCTTAGCTGCTTTCTGGTGAGCGAGAGGGTCGAGGTGTGACGAAGTGGGACTGTTCTTAATGTATCCTCTGAATAGTGTGGGGGGTGCCTCAGTTTCCCTTAGGCAGCTCCTAAGTATCTAGGGGGTGGGCTAAGGGTGTATGATCATTGCAGAGCCCTAGAGGGCAGGTGTGTGCAGGGGTCTGGACATAGAGAATGGCCGACACCCTGTTTCCTGGCAACTGATGGCCTGGGCCCTTCCCCCCTGCAAGGTGAGAGCTAAAGGGTTGGAGAACAAAGGAATCTGGTGACCTCCTGGCCCGGGAAAGGGACAAAGCCCAGAGGGGGAGGGGCTGGAGGGAGTTTCAGTTTGGGGCTGGCTGGGACATGGAGTGAAGGACAGACGTGGTTGTCTGGCTCACTGCCCCCAAAATGGACCCAGCTGAGGGGTCCCGTTCTCTGCACCTGCAAGCTCTGTTTTAGACCATGTTCCTGTCGTCTAATAAACCTTCTGTTTTACTGGCTGGCTGAGAGTCACGTCTGACTGCGGAGTTGGGGGGCAGGACCCTCTGGCTTCCCCAGGACCCCGCCTGAGTGGACTCGCTGTGGGAAGCGCATGGAGGGGCAGAGGAGGCTGAATGCTCCGAGGTCAGACCCAGGAAGGTGGAAGCCGGGTGAGCTGTGTGTCCTGCAGACAGGCTGCTCCCAGAAAGGCGACTGCCCCAGAGTCCTGGCTGGCTTCATAGGGAGCAGTTCCAGAGCATCGCCTGGGGACTCCGTGACACCCCTGGACTCAGGGACAAGCTACCCCAGGCACTGTCCGTCACACCCCATGGGATTCGCCGCCTGGCACTACCAGCCCTACAGCTTGAGGAGCCGGGTTCCCAGCTGTCGAGCAGGAGGGGTGCAGGATGTGACCCCTGGGACCCACTCAGTCCCACTGACCTGGAGAGCAGGAACCACAGCAGCAGGGCCCCTGCGGCCAGCAGCACCAGGACCACGGGCACCGCCACGGCCACCGCCAGGCCCCCGCGCTGGGGAGCCTGGGCCTCTCCTGCAAGCAACAGAACCAGAACCAGTGGGCATGTGGCAGACTCCTGGCTGAGCCAGCCTGCATCTTGCGGGTCCCTGGCAGAACCACGGCACGCACAGTGCACAGCTGCCATGGGACATCAGCCAGGCACAGAGCGTAGCCAGGTGCCCAGGACAGCATTGGCACCTGCTAGGGCAGGGACCCCACGTGTGACCCATATGGCCACTCCCAGCCCTTTGCGACTGGGTGTGTGTCATTTGATGGTGGTGCCCAGAGGGCCCAGCCAGGCTCCGGGCCCCGCTGCACTGGGGGCTGCAGACACATGCAGGGAGGCAGCCCCTGCCCCGAAGCGCTTGCGCTGGAATAGACAAGGACGACGAGGGGGAGGGGGAGAGAAGTGAAGTCATTTGCCCGAGGTCACACAGATGGTCCACGGCAGAGCTGGGCCTAAACCTGGACCGCCCAGCGCCATGTGACCCAGCATGCAATGCTTCACCTTGGACCACACAGCCAGGCTGAAACCAGTGCTGGGACGGGTGGTCTCTGTGGTATGACCCTCAGATCAAGCCTGAGCACAGCATGCTGGAACAACTGGTCGCTGCGGGCAGAAGCTCCCTGCTCAAGGTGAGGGTGGCTGCAGTCGGCCCCCTTGTGCCCAGCTGAGTGGCCCTCAGGTTCCAGGTGATTTCCACACTGCTGGGTGCCCAGGCTAAGTGTCACGGTGGGGCTGGCTCTACCCACCCCTGGGGTGCTGATCTCGTCTTTCAGGTTCGGGGATGAGCCGTCTGCCCCCAGCATGGCACAGCCCGTTTGTCGGGGTCCAAGCTAGTTCTACTGAGCTGTAAACAAGAGTTCCTAATAAAAGGAAGGGTGTGGAGGGGATTTCTCCCTGGCACTGGGTCAAAGCCAAGCCACAACGGGCTGCTTACCGACGGAGAAGTCATAGTACACACAGCTGGATTTCTCCATCTATGGAAGAGACAGAGAGGGATGAGTCCAAACTAGCCATTTCTATCAGTGCCTTGTGATCCCTGAGATAAGGGCTCCAGGCATGGATCGCTGCGTGTTTCACAAACATCATTTCTAGGGCTGTCAAGCCGTTAATCGCGCTGTTAAACAACAACAGAATACCATTTATTTAAATATTTTTGGATGTTTTCTACATTTTCAAATACATTGATTTCAATTACAACACAGAATACAAAGTGTTCACTGCTCATTTTAGATTTATTTTTATTACAAATATTTGCACATAAAAAACCGAAAGAAATAGTATTTTTCAATTCACCTCATACAAATACTGTAGTCATGAAAGTTGAATTTACAAATGTAGAATTATGTACAAAAAATAACTGCATTCAAAAATAAAACAATATAAAACTTTAGAGCCTACAAGTCCAGTCAGTCCTGTTTCTTGTTCAGCCAATCGGTCAGACAAACAAGTTTGTTTACATTTGCAGGAGATAATGTTGCCTGCTTCTTGTTTACAATGTCACCTGAAAGTGAGAACAGACATTCACATGGCACTGTTACAGCTGGCGTTGCAAACATTTACATGCCAGATACACTAATTGCCAGATTCACATGCCAGATTCATATGTCTCTTCATGCTTCAACCACCCTTCCAGGGACATGCTTCCATGCTGATGATGGGTTCTGCTTGATAACGATCCAAAGCAGTGCGGACTGACGTATGTTCATTTTCATCATCTGAGTCAGATGCCACCAGCAGAAGGTTGATTTTCTTTTGTGGTGGTTTGGGTTCTGTAGTTTCTGCACCAGAGTGTTGCTCTTTTAAGACTTCTGAAAGCATGCTCCACACCTCGTCCCTCTCAGATTTTGGAAGGCACTTCAGATTCTTAAACCTTGGGTCGAGTGCTGTAGCTGTCTTTAGAAATCTCACACCGGTACCTTCTTTGCGTTTTGTCAAGTCTGCAGTGAAAGTGTTCTTAAAATGAACAACATGTGCTGGGTCACCATCCCAGGCTGCTACAACATGAATTATGTGGCAGAATGCAAATAAAACAGAGCAGGGAACATACAATTCTCCTGCAAGGAAGTCAGTCACAAATTTAATTAATGCATTTTTTTTAAACGAGCATCATCAGCAGGGAAGCATGTCCTCTGGAATGGTGGCCAAAGCATGAAGGGGCACACGAATGTTTAGCAGATCTGGCATGTAAGTATCTTGCAATGCTGGCTACAACAGTGCCATGCGAACGCCTGTTGTCACGTTCAGGTGACATTGTAAATAAGAAGCAGGCAGCATTATTTCCCGTAAATGTAAACAAACTTGTTTGTGTTAGCGATTGGTGGAACAAGAAGTAGGACTGAGTGGACTTGCAGGCTCTAAAGTTTTGCATTGTTTAGTTTTTGAGTCCAGTTATGTAACAAAAAATATCTACATTTGTAAGTTGTTTTCATGATAAAGAGATGGCACTACAGTGCTTGTAGGAGATGAACTGAAAAATACAATTTCTTTTTTTTATCATTTTTACAGTGCAAATATTTGTAATAAAAAATAATAATATAAAGTGAGCAGTGTACACTTTGTATTCTGCATTGTAATTGAAATCAATATGTTTGAAAATGTAGAAAAACATCCAAAACTATTTAATACATTTCAATTAGTATTCTATTGTTTAACAGTGCGATTAAAACTGTGATTAATCGTGACTAATTTTTTTAAACATGATTCATTTTTTGAGTTAATTGGGTGAGTTAACTGCGATTAATCGACAGCCCTTATTATCTCCCTATAAGATACTGTCCTGACTTTACAGATGGGGAAACCGAGGCAGAGCTGGGCTCAGTGACTTTGCACCTGGATATTACAGGGGTTGATGCCCTAAAATCCTAAAGATTAGTTCAAATTAGAGAAAATAAATTCTATTACTTCAGTTTTGCCCAGGTCACACAGCAAACCATCAGCATGGCCTGAAATAGAACCCAGGAGTCCTGGGTGCCAGCCTCTTCCTCTAACCATTAGATAACACTCCCTGCAATGTCTCGGCCTGTGGATGGGCTCCCAAGGGCAAATGTTGGAAGCCCCATCTCAGGAGTGTTGGCTTTGGGCTGGACAAATCCTAACAAAAGGGACCAATGGAGCTTGTGGGGTGGGCGAAGGACGGACTAGATGTGGCCCAACAGGCCGTTCCCAGCGTCCACGGTGTGAAGGGGCGGGAGCAGTATCCCACCCACAGGGGCCATCCCGCTGCACTGCTTGGAGACGGGCATGGGGTGGCCAGCCAGGTCCTCCCCGTCTCTGATACCCCAGCCCTCAGCTGCCACCTCCCAGCCTGCCCGCTGCAGCATGGGCAGCCCCTGGCCTGGGAACCCCAGAGGAGTGGTCAGCGTGCCAGGGGAATCGAGAGCTACCTGGTGCCAGCGGCTGACGACGCGGACGACAGCCGTGTAGTTCCTGTGGGGGCGGAGGGGAGCATTGTAGTACCCATGGTGACGGGCCCCGTCGCCCAGCACAAAGTCAGTCGGGCCTGTGAGGTTGTGCGCGGGGAGCACGGCAGCCAGGTACATGTCACGCTCCAGGCTGGAGTTGAAGGGCTGCAGACCTGGTAAGCAGCAGGCGTCCGCTTCGCTGCCATTCTGCATCGCAGACACAATGATCTGATACTCCCTGCAAGGGAGGGGTTAGCCAGGTGGGGGCTGAGGGGGAACTGAACGGGGTGGGGAGGGGTTAGCCAGATGGGGGCTGAGGGAGAATGGGGGAACTGAACGGGGTGGGGAGGGGTTAGCCAGGTGAGGGCTGAGGGGGAACTGAACAGGGCGGGGAGGGGTTAGCCAGGCGGGGGCTGAGGGGGGAATGGGGGGAACTGAACGGGGCGGGGAGAGGTTAGCCAGGTGGAGGCTGAGGGGGGAATGGGGGAACTGAACGGGGTGGGGAGGGGTTAGCCAGGTGGGGGCTGAGGGGGAATGGGGGAACTGAACAGGGCGGGAAGGGGTTAGCCCAGGCGGGGGCTGAGGGGGAACTGAAAGGGGCGGGGAGGGGTTAGCCAGGTGGAGGCTGAGGGGGAATGGGGGAACTGAACGGGGCAGAGGAATGGGGTTTGCCAGATGGGGGCTGAGGGGGAGGGAAGAAACTGAAAGGAGCGGGGAGGGGTTAGCCAGATGGGGGCTGAGGGGGAATGGGGGAACTGAACGGGGCAGAGGAGGGGTTAGCCAGATGGGGGCTGTGACGAAGTGGGACTGTTCTTAATGTTTCCTCTGAATAGTGTGGGGGTGCCTCAGTTTCCCCTAGGCAGTTCTTAAGTATCTAGGGGGTGGAATAAGGGTGTATGATCATTGCAGAGCCCTAGAGGGCAGGTGTGTGCAGGAGTCTGGACACAGAGAATGGCCGACACCCTGTTTCCTGGCAACTGATGGCCTGGGCCCTTCCCCCCCTGCAAGGTGAGAGCTAAAGGGTTGGAGAACAAAGGAATCAGGTGACCACCTGGCCCCGGAAAGGAACAAAGCCCAGAGGAGGAGGGGCTGGGGGGAGTTTCAGTTTGGGGGCTGGCTGGGACATGGAGTGAAGGGCAGATGTGATTGTCTGGCTCACTGCCCCCCAAAATGGACCCGGCTGAGGGGTCCTGTTCTCTGCACCTACAAGCTCTGGTTTAGACCATGTTCCTGTCGTCTAATAAACCTTCTGTTTTACTGGCTGGCTGAGAGTCCCGTCTGACTGCGGAGTTGGGAGGCAGGACCCTCTGGCTTCCCCAGGACCCCACCTGGGCGGACTTGCTGTGGGAAGCGCACAGAGGGGCAGAGGAGGCTGAATGCTCCGAGGTCAGACCCAGGAAGGTGGAAGCTGTGTGAGCTGTGTGTCCTGAAGACAGGCTGCTCACAGAAAGGCCACTGCCCCAGAGTCCTGACTGGCTTCATGGGGAGCAGTTCCAGAGCATCGCCCGGGGACTCCGTGACAGGGGCTGAGGGGGAACTGAATGCGACAGAGGAGGGGTTAGCCAGGTGGAGGCTGAGGGGGGAATGGGGGAACTGAACGGGGCAGGGGAATGGGGTTAGCCAGATGGGGGCTGAGGGGGAGGGAAGAAACTGAAAGGGGCAGGGAGGGGTTAGCTAGATAGGGGCTGAGGGGTGATGGGGGAACTGAACCGGGCAGGGGAATGGGGTTAGCCAGATGGGGGCTGAGGGATGTGACGAAGCGGGACTGTTCTTAATGTTTCCTCTAAATATTGTGGGGGTGCCTCAGTTTCCCCTATGCAGTTCTTAAGTATCTAGGTGGTGGGGTAAGGGTGTATGATCATTGCAGAGCCCTAGAGGGCAGGTGTGTGCAGGGGTCTGGACACAGACAATGGCCAACACCCTGCTTCCTGGCCACTGGTGGCCTGGGCCCTTCCCCCTGCAAGGTGAGAGCTAAAGGGTTGGAGAACAAAGGAATCAGGTGACCTCCTGGCCCGGGAAAGCCCAGAGGAGGAGGGGCTGGGGGGAGTTTCAGTTTGGGGGCTGGCTGGGACATGGAGTGAAGGGCAGATGTGATTGTCTGGCTCACTGCCCCCCAAAATGGACCCGGCTGAGGGGTCCTGTTCTCTGCACCTACAAGCTCTGGTTTAGACCATGTTCCTGTCGTCT